CTGGTGGGTGGAACTTACTTGGGACGTTACCCGTGAAGCTTGCTCTTGGGATGAGTAAGAACAGGGCGAGCCTAGTAATTTTCCTAGCAACAACGTTTCTGGGACCGGCGAAATTTGAACGAGTTACCTGCGTGTTGACATAGGACTTTCAGGACCAAGCGGATAGCCGTCCTGGGCAGCAGTGCTCCTGTTTCTGTTCTACAGTAGTGAAGTGGAGTCTACATTTTTAGAACCAGTGTCAAGATGAGCCCGGCCGACATCAACGCGGGATAAGATAAGAGTCCTCCGCTTCAAGATGTCCCTTCAAGATAAGTTTTATTTTTTTTTTTTTTTGGTGTGTTTGAACTTTAGGCAAGCTTTTCAAAAACGTCCTTAGCAGTAAAAAAAAAAAAAACAACGTCAAATCTAAAATTTAACTCTCAGGCCTTAAATTGTTTCCCTTTCCCTTTCTTTTAAATCACCAGACAAACCTTAAGTTTTTTTATGAATTTAAATGAACAGACTCTCAGATGAGGTTAAGATTTTTCTTATTGTGTTGTAATTGAATAAACTGATATTTAATCTGGAACCTCTTACAGTATGTTTTCTTTATATATTTAATATGAACTTTTCCTTTATATCTTGTATATGTTTTATGTTTTCGATCCTCTCACGGCGCGGTCCCGGAATGCATTTTTTTCACAACGCAAAAATGCTGTACACGTTTCACTATACGATCACTCCCTTTAACGGCAAGTAGTTTCATATTTAACATTTAACAATATAGGAATTTCAGATATAACATGGTACCTAGAAGTAAAGCTATTTAACCATGGTCTCGAAACAATTTTAACATAACAATGGGCGAAAATATGTAAGACGTAAAATAGGAGAAAATCTACATCCTGACTGCATTCAAACAACTGTGAAGAACCCAGTTAGTGCTATGATTTGGTCATGCATGTCAGCAGATGGTATTGGTCGCCTTCATGTCATCGATGGAACACTGAATGCCAGAAAATACATTGACACTATTCTAGAACCAAAACTTACTAACCTTCCATCAGAGATCTCTTTCCCAACAATGCTTCGTTTATTTTTCAGCAGGATTCTGCTCCTTGCCACACGGCCAAAATATCGAAAGAGTGGTTTCGTACAAAGAGCATTAAATTGTTGTCATGGCCAGGAAACAGTCCTGACCTCAATCCTATCGAAATTTGTGGCACCGTTTTGAAAACTCTTGTCCGAATGAGGCGCCCATCAAATAAAAGGGAACTAATTGAGGCTATAATTGTTTCCTGGCATCATGTAATAACAAAAAAAGAGCTTAAAACACTTGTCAGCTCAATGAAACGTCGATGTGAAGCTGTAATCAAAATTAAAGGGTACGCTACTAAGTACTGATAACTCACTGCTATCATCACTATCTAATGTATATCGATAACTATTATCGTTTAACTTTTTTTTGTACTGCAAATAATTGAATTTTGTGTTTTGTATTGAATTCTGTAATAAATTCTCCTTTAAATTATATATACAAGTTTTCATTTTGTCAAAAGTAACGTTTTCTATAAGCATACAAAGTTCAAAAACATAAAAATTTCCAAAAGTGTCCACAATTTTGGCCACCACTGTATGTTAAATATTATCATGCAACATACTCTTACGAAATGTCCAGGCGCGGTAAGATAGCTTCCCCGCAAAGCAGGTTTAGGGTTGCCATAAAATGATAAGGAAAGCAGGGTTGCCACATTTAGCGAGAAATCGCCCATTTGGCGACAAAATCCGCGATATGTTATGGACGGATGGAGAACCTTCTGGAACGAATTTTTACCAGTTTAGCCCAGAATGTTCACGAACACAAGCCAAAAACTACATAAACCCTGCTGGTACGCGAAGAGTGTGGGCGAGATAGTGTCTCGAGTTAGTCAGTCCGTACGGAGTCGATCGAGTTGACAGCCGGGCAGCGAGCGCCGTGTAGGTCGTCGAATGCATCGAAAGAGCCTCTTAGTATATCGCGGTTAGTCCATCATCGAGAGAGTGTGTTGAGCTTCGGGAACGACTGAACCGAAGAGTCGGGAGCTGTGGTCTGTGTGTCGTCGAGTGAATCGCGAGTTCTAGCGTGGAGAGTCTCGAGAGTACGTGGAGTTCCGACAAGACCGAGCAGAGTCGGGAGCTGTACTCTGGTGCTTTGCAGTGAAGCTATCTCCACAGTTTTTGCCTTACAGTGTAAAGACTGTGTCGCTGATCGTTCCAGCGTTTTTATAGTAGATCTTGGAAGTTTTTTGGATTTGTCCTGATTAATATTGGTAAATAAAGTGTGTTTCGATACTCCAAGTGCTGTCGTCATTATTCGCTCCAAATCCACTCGAACCCCGTACGAACGTGAAAGAAGAAAATAACGTAACAACTGGTGTCAGAAAATAATGCAACAGTACGTAACTGAGGTTACGTTTAAGTGATAAATTATGCAAATAAGATATTACCAATATTAAATATTGCAAATAATTTAATTATGTATTGTATATTGTACTACTTAGTAAAGCAATGTAAAATGTATTCACCTGGCACATATTTTTTCACAAACCTTTTAAAATGAAAGGATTCTTTCATTTTAATTTAATCCGCAATTAGACGACAAACATGAAGAAATGCAGTTTTTGTACTTTATAAGCAAAGCATACGGGTTAAAAGGATATTAAAAATAAGAGTTAATGATTTCTCTAAACCTAACAGTAGTCCCATGCATTTGTAGCAGCACGTTGTTGCAGGGTTTTAATCAAACTGTGCTAGTTACCTCAATCTGTTTCTCTTCTGTCTCAAAGCATTGTTTGTTCTCAGTTTACTTCTGCTAGGATCTTGCACCCGAAAGCTAACACGAGTGAATTACCTTTCTTGTGGTTAAAGAAAGTTACATGCGTAGTCATTTATATTTAACGACAAAGCAATTGATATAAAAATAATCCGGTTATGGCATTCACGAACAGAGCTAGACTCTGCCAGGCGTTGTTTATAAATATTATATCTTGGTAATTTTCAATAATCTCTACAATGCAGGTTATGCCTATATGTATCTTACTCCCGTGTGGCGTGTCATCAGGAGCGTTTATCTCTTATTTGGTAAGAGCCACATCATACATTTATGTCGTCACGATATCTACAGTAATTGCTGCAAATTTATTGCTCAGCTATCGTTGTGTGAAGTCAAAGCATTAGAATGAGATATATCTCGATTTAGTTATTCGTGAGTGCTCACTTTTTCGTCTTTATCAACCACATTTTTACAATCCTCTAAAAGCCGGCAGAACATTGCTATTGCAATAGCTTATCTGCCATGCAGCTGACTTTAGCATCATATTTTCCTGCTTTAATTCCACACTCTGAAGAATATAGATGCAATTGGAACATTTACTTTTATATCGAAAGACTTTTTTTTAATTGCGCGTTGGATTGGACGATGTTCATGGTACTAGGTGAACGAGTTAGTCATCCTGGAGAAAACTTATGTATTGTAGCATAAAATTCTGCCCCATTTATATCTGCACATCATGTGTCAACAAAGTTATAACAGTAGATTCATGCAAGATCGAAAATTTAAGAACAAGCTTTCTTATATATAAATATACAGTTTCTCTAAGTCTATACAACTCTTGTCACGTCCGCATAGCTTCTTGAGTGATTCTTAAAAAATCATCTTTTGCAATGCAAGTCTCCATTTGATTTTCTGAATATCTTCAACGTTACTGAAAAAATAACTTCGAGATTATTTTAGAAAAGAGATGAGATTGAACTTTAGTGAACAGAAAGTAATTTGTTTGTGCTAAAGCTTGCGAATAAGAAGTGTGGTTGAGAATTCTAATAATTTCTTTATGAGAAATGGCTTGACGAGACTGAAATTATGTGATAGTACACTGCTATTTTGCAGAAACCTGTTATTACAAACTTAACATGATGAAATCTCTGCAGAAGTGTGGCTATTACGTCTTTATAAAATGCAAAAGACGATGTTTGTCTCTCAAGAAAAAATTCCTTGTGAATTATTCCTTCTTAGTCACAAACGTCACCACCATAGTCTTTTCCCAAGATTTCTTAAATTGAAGTTTCTGTGGCCGAGATGAAACTTCCTCAATCCAAACCAGATGATTATATCTTTGTCTCAAGTTTATAAGAAAAGTACTAAACTTCGTTTCCAGTCACAGTTTTGTTCAAAACATCAGGATCAATTCCCAATTTATAGGAAAACTTTATTCCAATTCTTTGCTCATCTTTCGAATCCGTGACAAAAGATGTTATGAAGATTAATGTAAATTATAGAGTGCATAGCACCTTCTGTCCGTTGCAGATGATATTTTCGAAGACTCATATTCAGCAGCAAATGTTGTCACTTAGCGTTTATCGTTTAGCAAGTTTGCTGTAATTTATTAAAATTTAGTCTTTAAACTTTGTAAATGCATTTCAGATTGCCATGTAGTTTGGAATGAATACTTTAATGTTGTTTTTTGCATCTACAATGTACAGACATTGGAAAATGTCTTCGAACTATTTTACATAAACATAGACTTAGTCGATTTAATGACCTAAAGAAACGTAGCTGATTTTTTCAGTTATTAAACATTTATCAACACTACGCACGAGATCAAATGCAAATATTAATTTGGAAATCATATGTTACAGTTAAAGAGGTGTAGTAAGACATTTCATATTATATTACATTTTTAAGGCCTTCTTCAATTTGATTTTTCATGCGTAAAAATATATAAATTTCAGATTCCTTGTGAATGCATATTAAATCAGAAATAATTATTTTTAATAGAAAAGAATCTTGTTAGAAGTAAAAGGATTTCATTTGGTAGAATTATTTCCTACATTTTAAACATTAAAATTTCGTAAAAAATCAGCGGGCGTTTTAAATACGAGTTTGCTGCCTATCTACCGGATTTAGTTTCTTAAGAAAATGTTATGTTTTTTACTTTACATTAAATAATGTAATACGATTTTATAATAATTTATTCCTTTCGTAGGTGTCCTTAGGAGAAACCATACACATATTCCTTTGACAGAAAGAGGTGCTCTAGTCGAAAACTGCAGAAGTGCTACTAGCAGTTGCAGTTCTTCCGATATCAGTGATTATATGGAATCACTATCCTTTATTTCCAGAAGTAGTAGCAGCAGCAGTGGGAGTACTAGTAGCGCCGATTATGTGCGTAGTGAAGACTTGTACCATTTGAAACCTTTGCCTAGACCACTACCGAAAAATAATTTTTCTATTAGCAACTGCACAGTTCCTTCTGTTCATCATCAAAGTAGGCATTCCCCTGGGGAAGTCAATGGTGTCGATATTTCAAATCGGTTCATGAACCATCGAGGCCTTGTGGATATTTCTGATTCTTCCTCGGCTGGAGGAAGCTCTAGTGGATCCTACCAAGACCCCAAACCTTGCTATCTTGGCAAAGACGAATCGAAAATGAGGCCTTGCACTGGTGTGCACTCTAACAGGGACTCCAGATCTTCAACTTCCTCAACTAGCTCATTAAGTACTTCCCCTAGTGTCACGGATTACAGCTCCTCTACATCTTCATCTCCCCCATGTCAGAATGTGTCTTCTAGATCGATTTACGGCAAGAGTCAGCAAGACACCAAGGCTGAGCCTGACATGGCTCAACGTAGCATGTTTGTTTATTCTACTTCAAAAAATGAGCCCGAGAAGACTTCGTAGTTCTGAATAATTTCTAACCCATGACGGAATAATTCAAAGTTTTTAATATTTGGATGAAAATGTGTGATCGCAATTTAGTATTTATTTTAATGCCAGTAGTTTTTTAAGAGTATTATAGAACTGGTTTTTTAATGTATTGTTTTTCTTTGTAAGTGAGTGTGAATGATGTTGTAAATTTTATGTGTAGAGTTTTTTAAATATATTTTAAGCGTGTTTAAATGGAAACACAGTTTTTTACGAGACATAGAATAGTTTGAATTCTAATGGGAAATTTTTAAAAATTTCAACGTGTTTGATTTTCTTTTGAAAATTTTATTTCTGTTCAACATATTTTTTGTCTTTAGAAATATTTTTAATTTGTGATGCATGAATAAAATTTAATTATGATTTCATTTGTTTCATGCTTAAAACTTTGACTCAGATTCCGCCAGAACTGAGGAGAGCGAGATTTATGACACTTTAGGGTGAATTAGAATTACAGGAAATCATAAAAAATCTTAGTTATTTTGATGTTAAAAATTCCTGCATATCTTCATTTTTCTCTAGCATATCAATTATATACTTCTGACATATCATTTTTAAAATTATTAATATTTTCTTGAAAGTAATTTCAAACACAAATGAAAGCTGATATTTTAGAACATCAGAATCTTTATATATTTCTTAAATGTAAAATTGGTTAGATTTTGGTATAAAGTATCTTTGTCAGAATAGCTCATTCGTTATTTATTCCTCGATCATAGTAAGAGGAAATGTCGAAACAATTTGAATAATTTGGAAGCACAACTGTATTAAAAGTCAAAAAATAGAAAATATTTTAAATGTTATATTATTTCATAATTAATTCAGAATTTATTGTGATGTTGTCTTCTCAACATGCACAAATCTGCATACATGAAATATTTGTTACTAATGCATGATTTATCTTCCATACGTGGAAACTCCAAAATATAATCTTAAGTTCTAAAATTATATTTTTCCTGAGTTAGCTTAGCTTTCATAAATTTTCTTTGAGAGTTTTCTGTGAATGCTCCAACCCTTGAAAAGATTCGATACCAAGATATGTTGCCTCTAAGTTCAGATTTATTATTAAATTAGAAAGGAAGAAAACTGTTGGTAGCATAAATGAATAAAGAACGTAAGTGTAAATAGATTGAACGTGTTGAAATACAAGTCTTAATGAACTAGTATAATTATATTTCATATTGTACTATCTAACATACACACGGAGCATTGTAATTAGTTAAACATAAGATATAGAGCTTATACCCTTTGAATATTAGGGTTAGAAAAAACAAGCGGGACTTTTTTCTCATAGAAGCAAAAGTTCAGAACTGTACACTAGTAAAGTATATCTTTATTTTAACAATAGGAACACACCGAATAATTAAATGTTAACCTTTTCCCGGGGGCTGGGACATATATGTCTCGCACGTTGACTACTTTAAATGTGTCTCAAGAAATTTCAGTAAACTATGGAGATTTAAAATTTACTCCTTAATATGGGTTAGGAAGTGGAATACTCTGTCGATTTGTTTTTCTGTTCCTTTCAGTTAAAATGAGTGACTAAATGGCCAAAATACATTCGAAATTGGACCCTATAGCCCACGGGAAAAGGTTAAATGATAAAATAATAAATAACAAGAACAAACGAAGCGTTAGTAAATTTGCAATTTGGATCAGTATCAATTGAAGCCGATTTTATTTGACTTCTATTTCTTACTTTGACATTTATGTATTTCTTGGCCAAATGTTACTTTAAATTGTTGACTTTTACCTGTAGAGAACTCTAAATATGTGAAGACAGTATTTAAATTTTACATAAAGAACAGCAACATTATACATAGCATTCCGTAAACTGATATGAAAAACCATTTTTGTGTTTTTTTAACTAAACGACCATTTTTTAAAACATTTGAAGTAAATACGATGAAGAACGATGTGTGTTAGTATCTTCCTCAAAATTTCTTCTCCCATAAAAGACATTTATTTCTGTAGGTTTTTGTCTCTCTGTTATTATAATTTATAAGATGTTTTTTTATTCGAGTTATAATGGTTATTGACAGGGCCATAATTAATTTCTAGAGCTTTCTAAGTCTCATTTCTCAGCTGAAGAATCATTTGCAAGATAAACTGACTCCCAAAAAAGTTATAATGGCGACCGAATAGTACACTTTATATAATTTAATTAATAGGTAATTAAATCCTTTTATAATTGCTGTCATAATTTTAGTTTTTAAATTATAAACTATTTTTATGGCAAACATTTAAATTAAATACCTCCATACATTCAAATCGAATAACAATTTTTATATTTTTGCTCCTATTTTTTCTACAAAATTCAGGATGTCTGCCTTGGTTATTCTAATTGAAGAATAAATTTATCCGCTTTAATTTTTTAGTTTACATAATATATTTAGATAAACAGAGTAACCGATTCTACAGAGTACCAACCGCCTATAGGAAAACGGATTCCAAGTAAGAGATTTCTGCCTTTCTTAGGCATGTGTTATTTATAAACGTTCAAAACGAAAGAGCTGCAGGGAAGTCCAGATTGAACTACCCCTCTCGAAGACTTTCAGTGGTTTTGTTTAAATTACTCGTCTCATAATTAAAATTATATACATGCCATTTAATATTTCATCAGAATTTTTAGTATAAAAATACACCCTTTTGCTTTGGATTTGAATAACATATAACAAGTGTTCTAGAATTTCAAATTCTCATTTTAAAGGATAAATAAAGTTTTATTAATTTTAAATCATATTTTTAAGTGCAAAGTATTTAACGAATGGTAGACGTTACTTCCTCATTGTAGGTTACCGTAGAAAATGTGAGATATGTAGTTCTCAGTTACATATTTTTGCATTGGTCAAAGCCTAAATCTGTACATCTGTGTTAGCCTTTGAAATATATTTCCAACATTTCTAAATTAAGAACATTACATTATATGTTAAGAAATAGTTGTTACCAAAGTGAGATCATTGATTATAAATAACTTTAAAAGCATATAGTGAAATTTAAGCAAATTTTAGATTTTCTTGCAGGATACATTTTTATTAATTACATAAGTTGGAGTTCCTACATTTGAACAAAATTCTGGACTATTTTTATTTCAAACGGAGGTCTGATTTTGATTTATATTACAAGCATGGTAGCCCATACGTAATTATTTTATTCAATATTAAACTGCGGTAAAGACTAACATAATACAGTTTAAGGTCTTGTAAAATAAAAGAAAAATATTCAGTTTAACTGTACCATTTAATTTTTATTTTTCATCAACCCTTTTGTAAATTTTGCACGTAAGTCAATTCTGCATAGGAACCCACATTTCAAATTACTCCCCGAAATTCCCCCGCAAATTAATTTGTCTTGTATTTTTTCATCGAATAATTACTAACGTTTTCAGTACGTTAACGGTGTTTCAAAAACATTAATCGAAAGTATAATTATTGATTTTTTTATCATTAAAATGTACGTAAAATATCTATCTTTATTAACTGTGTTTTTGGTAAAAGCTCTTCTTACTTAAAATCGTATAAGAACTGCGGTTAACGTAATATACTTCTGATTGCCATGCACAGTTAGAACAAGAAATGGAGAATACTTTGTTTCCAAGCCTAATGTTTACTTAGCATTATCATGTTCTGCTAATGTGAACAATATATGTCAAAGGTTTAGTTTGTTAGCTGAAAGATATTAGTATTAAAACAATAAATCTTTATTTTTTGAATGAGCTTGTAACTGAGACTGCAATAACATTTAGTGAAAATTAATTATCATATTTCTGTAAATTATTTTGAACCATCAACATAATGGTTTTTATAATCTTAAAAATGTATATCATATAATAGATGACATTGGCAGCAGCTTGCGCCCTGAAATGTATAAATGAATTATAAGTGTATGTCATCTATTCATATTTAAAGTGATCGATTTACAAAGTTATAAAATTAATCTGAACCCTTTTTGAAACTTAGTTTTATTCCAGAACTGAATACATGTGTCATTAACTTAAGTTTCGAAGTTTTATTAACTGTGTTCAATATTAAAGGCCTATAAATCAATAAAATTATTCACTGTTAGGAGAACTGAATTTTCGTTTCGTTTTCATGGTAGTGTAATATATATAAAAATACTGAGTGTAAATGTGAATATAATTCAGAAATTTTGAAAGGCATATGGCATTTCCTAATAAATATTTCATTCAGCTTTATTAATTTCAATGAAAGTTTTGCTTCGAGAATTAAGAAAATGTTAATTAAGAATGCAGTTATCGAAACCTTGGAAGTATTTCAATGAAAACCGTTAAACTGGCTAATTGCTAATAATTATATATTAGTTTATTTTTAATTAAGTCAGTTGTTGCCAAATGTACCAAACGCAATGCAACGTTCATGTGTGTTTACGTATTTTAAAACTGCATAATTAATGCTGATGAAATGAGGATTTATTTTGAAGTTTGTTTAGGCTTATCAGTTTCATAAAATTACCAACATTTATGCACTGGAGAAGAAATCATATCTGGTGAATTAAAATTACATATCTCATGAAAGATAAAACTTTTTATATCGAATATTTTAGACAATTTATTGTCCTATGTGCGTAATAAATGTGTTGGGCTATGTTGGGCATTAAATTCGAATGCTAATTTTAATTCGTCTTATGAACAATTTATCAGAATTTGATTTATTGTTTGAATATATAAGCATTATAGGTTTGGACAAACATAAATCATTATTTTTAATACTTTGTTATTCTGTTTCTTCAAGTATTAAAGTATAATTTAATCACTTCGAATTACTTTAAACGGATTCTTATTTCAATTGGACCTTTTCTGTAATGCAAATATATCTGTAAAAAATTTCACTTGTACCTAAAATTATATGTATATTGAATTTATAAACAAAATTCTGTATATTGTATGTTGGGACCAATTGAAGTAGATGATAGAAATTTAAATATTGGTATTTATATCCGAAATATATCATATCTGATATAAAAAATTAAGTACAATGTTATAGATAGTAGTGCTTTCGATAAATTAATAAAAATCTTGTCTACCTATCGAAAAATTCAATGAGAGTTAATACTCTCTGCAACTGATGTTAAAAATATTTGCAGTTTATAAGAAATTATATAAATATGCGTGTAATGAAATTTTTCAGCTTGTAAAGTGTATGTTAAGTACATGCTCTGTAAGTTCAGGGAATTTGTGCTTCGGAAGAAGTAAAATGTCTTTTGTCTCTCGCAATTATTCTGGAAGAAATTACACCTAAATAAGATTTATTAATAATTAACTATCTCCGTAATGAATAAAACCCATTATTAATTGTCAATTAGCTGTACGAAGAATGGCTCGTTATTTATGCCGGAAAACAATGAATTGCTAAGACTCGTTTATGTTTTGTTTAAAATAATATTCCATTGAAAATAATCCCCCCAAAAATTTTTTAACTACTTTTATATCTAACCTTTGCCAATATTTTATATTAATAGATTTTATTTTTTTGTCCCTTTATATTTCAGTAGAATTTTGAGAAAATATTTATAACGACATTCACTGCAGCATTTTTCATTGTTTGATCTAAAATAACTAACGTCTGCTTATAACTGATAAGTTGAAGAATCCATTAAATTTTTTAAAACAATTTTGTAGCTTCAGATTATTAAAAAACCTGGATAATATGAAATTAAATATTAACAGAAACTTAAAACATATAGTTAATCTTTAAAAAAATCTAGCTTAAAATCTCGAGTAAATTGGACAAAATGCATGAAGTAAGCAATTACTGCGACTTATACTGCAACTTATAAAAAAAATAAAAAGTTGCCGAATAGATAATAAATATTCATTATACTATGTGCATTTTTTATGAGTTAAAATATTTTTATAATCCTTGGCACTGCTTTATTGTTCGGATAATTTTCTCATGGTAAATAAATAACATTGTAAATAAAAAATGGAAATAGCAAAAAATTCCTTCACTGGTGATAGATTATGCTTAAGCTTTGCAGCCTGTTTTGTCATGCAATCTCTGAATGTATAATCATTCTTAAGAAAATGGAAGATAAATATACTTCTCCCACTGCAGATTTCGTTATATTTACTTTATTGTATGTCAATGGGTTTCGTTTTTAAAACCATTTTTGTGTCAGAAATATTATTGTTATATAAAAGAGATTTTGATGCAAGCCAAAGAATATGTAACCCAGAACATTAAAAAAAATAACTACAGACACTTTAAATACCTGTTTGTTTTCATTATTTTAACTTCTTTTTTAAAATATTTAAAAATCACAGTTTATGTTCCCATAGCTGATAACTGTTATGTTCTTCATGAAAGTAATTGCATAAAATCGCATCTCATTGTAAAAGTAGCAAAATTCAGCCTGCAAAATTTGAATTTCGTTTTAAGTCGAAATATTTGGTTTAATTGTTCATGAAAGTTCAAAGCAGGGTAATTGGTAAATAAAATGTTGATCAAATGAAATTCATGTATTTGTTGCAATATAGGAAATTTTTTTAAAAAAATCATACTTCTTGAAATATTTCGTGAATTCAAAAATTTGTCATGTTCCCATTTATTAGTGATGAAAACCGACTTTGTATTCTCATATTTAGTGTGTTGCTTAAGCTCAATGGATAGACTGAAGCGCTAAAACGACTATTTATTTGCCTTCCAGGTTTGGCTTCTGTCTTGCCTTAATTCTTCTAAAACCAGTGCCAACCAAAGATTCATTTTTCGTGACTTTAACATTGGGCTGGAGACTATGGTACTTACAGAGAGCGTTTTTATGAGTCTTTTAAAGCTTCAAAGTTTGGTCTAATTTGTTTTATTACAGCAAAGCACTCTAGGGCTATCTGCCCAAAAGGAGGGATGCCAC